ATTGGTTACACCTTGAAAAATTAATTTTAAAAAATTCACTCCTTTGGTTACACCTTGATTTTTAATACCCTACACAACTATGTTGTCAGGGTATTATAGCTTTGTGCAGCCCCAAGAGTTTGTAACGCCCCGAAATGTTGGTCCTAGATCCACCTTTAAGTATACCGATCGTCATATCTCGACTAGCTGAGTCGATCTAGACATGTGTGTCCGTCCGCCTGCCCTCCCGTCTGTCCATTATAATTTGTAAACACGATACAGGCCACATTTATGGACCAATCTTCACGAAATTTTGCATGTAGGATGGGTTCTGGCCAATTAAGACCCCTATTGTGTTTGGTAAAGAATACTTATTTTTTGACCGTTTTACTGGTCGCTCCAGGGGTCGCAATTATGGCCCGAACGTCGCGAAATTTTACATGGAGAAGGGGATCGGGCCAAAGAATAAGCATACATGTTTTGATAAGGATTGGTCAATATTTAGCGGGCTAAATGGACCCTGACTTTTGTGTGAAAAATGACAAAATTTGTATTCTGTAGCGTATATATTTACCCTTGAAGGACATAGACCTGAGAAGTTGATAGTATGTCCAAGAGGAGTGGTTGGCCTTTAAATTGATACCAATTATATTGTCGTATTATATTGTCGTATGTGGGAGTTCCAATTAAATATTTACAGGTGGTTACGTATTCATATATTATTTAGTAACCCATTACCACACTAGAGGGCGGAAATATAGAGCTGATCGCTTTGAAATTTTCCATGAGGATACTATAATTTTCGTTAATGATCAGATAATAATCTTGGGATGAAGTGGACCGAAAATATAATTGTTTGTGTAATTTCGAGTCGACAAGGGGTAACGGGAATCTGGGCAAGTAATTAGAAGGGCTGTACTGAATATTAATAATATTTGTTGACCTCTAGTCGGCCAAGAGGGTGCAAATTTCGCGAATGTTGGACTTTCGTGGAAGTTGTGTAGGGTATCATATGGTCGGTATCATATACTGCTCCGCTCACTGGTTTAAAATATTTTTCAAGCCCCCACAAATAGGCGTTTTTTATACCCTTCACCATACTGTGGTACAGGGTATTATGTCTTTGTGCATATGTTTGTAACAGGCAAAAGGAAACGAGATAGACCCATGGTTCCTTTTGAGAAAATGCATAGAATCACTTTCTGAGTCGATTTATGCATGTCCGTCCGTCCATCTGTCCGTCTGTTGATGTTAAATTGTAAAGAAAGTACAGGTCGCATTTATGATCCGAATTGGATGAAATTTGGCATAGCTAATTTATTTGGCCCAAGGACGAACCCTATTGAAATTGGGAAAAATCGGTTCAGATTTAGATATAGCTCCCATATATATTTTCGTCCGATTTAATGAAAATGGTGCACCAAAGTCCTTATTTATCTTTCGATTTGCACGAAATTTGGCATAGCGTAATGAATTAAGTCTAGAATGGTGTGTGCTAAGTTTCGTGAAAATCGGTTTAGACTTAGATATAGCTCCCATTTCTATTTTCGTCCGATTTTAGGTAAATGATGCACTAATGTCCCTTAATATCCATCGATTTACACGAAATTTGCAATAGCTTACTGAATTAAGTCTGGAACGATGTGTGTTAAATTTCTTGAAAATCGGTTCAGATTTATATATAGCTTCCATATATATTTTCGTCCGATTTTAGGTAAATAGTGCACCAAAATACCCATATATCATTCGATTTGAACGAAGTTTGGCATAGCGTACTGAAATGAGTCTAGAAAGATGATTGGTAAGTTTCGGGAAAATCGGTTCAGATTTTGATATATCTATCATATATACTTTTGTCCGACTTTATGTAAATGGTACACCAAAGTTCCTATATATCCTTCGATTTGCACGAAATTTTGCATAGCGTACATAAATGAGGCTAGAAAGATGATTGGAAAGGTTCGGAAAAATCAGTTCAGATTTCGATATAGCTCCCATATATATATTTTCGTCCGATTTAATGTAAATGGTGTACCAAAGTCCCTTAATATACTTCAATTTGCACGAAAATTGCGATAGCGTACTGAATTAAGTCTAGAACTATGTGTGTTAAATTTCGTGAAAATCGGTTCAGATTTATATATATATATATTCGTCCGATTTTAGGTAAATAGTGCACCAAAGTCTCTTTATATCCTACGATTTGCACGAAATTTGGCATAGCGTACTGAAATGAGTCTAGAAAGATGATTGGTAAGGTTAGGGAAAATCTGTTCAGATTTCGATATAGCTCCCATATATATTTTCGTCCGATTTTAGGTAAATAGTGTACCAAAGTTTGGCATAGTGTACTGAATCAAGTCTAGAACGATGTGTGTTAAATTTCGTGAAAATCGATTTAGAGTTAGATATAGCTCCCATATATATTTTCGTCCGATTTAAGGAAAATGGTGCACCAAATTAGGTAAATGATGCACTAAAGTCCCTTAATATCCCTCGATTTGCACGAAATTTGCAATAGCGTACTGAATTAAGTCTAGAATGATGCGTGTTAAATTTCCTAAAAATCGGTTCAGTTTTAGATATAGCTCCCATATATATTTTCTTCCGATTTTAGGTAAATGATGCACTAATGTCCCTAAATATCCCTCGATTTGCACGAAATTTGCAATAGCAAATTAAGTCTAGAACGATGTGTGTTAAATTTCGTGAAAATCGGTTCAGATTTTGATATAGCTCCCATTTATATTTTCGTCCGATTTTAGGTAAATGAGTCCCTTAATATCACTCGATTTGCACGAAATTTGGCATAGCGTACGGAATCAAGTCTACAACGATGTGTGTTAAATTTCATGAAAAGCGGTTCAGATTTAGTCCGATTTTAGGTAAATGGTGCACCAATCTCTTAATGTTTGTCCTATTGACACGAAATTTTGCACCACTTATAAAATTGAGACTGGAATGGCGTTATTGCATTTTATTGAAATTGTTGCAGATGCAGACATGGCTTTGAAGGGATGTCCGATTGAAATTATCAAGTGGACTATAAATCAATTTCCGTTAATTTGTCCCATTGCACGCAAAGGACTCTAAATCTGCCTGAATGAAATTAATTTTAGCATATGTTGCAGAAAGACATGAGTGTGTTCCTTCGAGGGAATATTGACATGAAATTATTAGGATAACTATGTACAATATACCCAAATTTGTGAAGGGTATCATAAAGTCTTCGACGTGTCAAGATCCATTTGGCCGACTCTGTCTACCAAAAGAACGCCCTCACTGAGGAACGTACAACCTTGACACGTAACACATCTTCTGACTGATTCCTATAGCCATCGATCTTAATTCCAATCTTACCTTTTTTTATATATTTCTGTAAGCTTCTCATCTCCCTTTATTTCCCCTTCTCCCCCTATAGATCTGTCCTTATCTCATCTCTTCTCGTGGATGATTACAACGGACCTAACCGGTCTTAGAATGCTGCAACCACATAAGTGACTGCACATCCACAAACCTAACCTGTCATATAGTCCGACTTTACTACTTTCCTTACTGTTTTTTTTTTTATTAAAGACAATGTTGGGAAAAGTATTCCCCATCTAATTTTTCACTATGGGTCTTCGAATAGAACTTTTCTCGAGACCTAATGCAAAGCTATAAAATATCTCCCTGAAAATGAGTTTCATAAAAAAACACTGGTTTCACATTCTACCCATTTCCCATAGTAAAGCCCATAATCTACGCAAAGGTATCACAGTGCGTGTTTATTTGTTGACCTACATTAAATTTAGTATCCTGCGTAAATATGTCAAGGATATTAACTGTTCAAATATTCTGTGGCCATAAAAAAGAAATTATCAGTTCTAATTTTAATTGGCTTGGCTGGCGGATTGATTGATTTCTTTTATTTATTGTAACAGCCGCCAGCTTTTTTTATGCCGGCTAATTGGATATTGGATTTTCATGGTGGCGTTGTTATTTTTTGGCTCTCAACAAAATTTTTGTTGGCCAAGGTTATGCGGTATAATAGGTGGATAAAATGTGCTACCGAATTTTTTTGTTATTTGTTTTTTTTTTTTTGATATAAATATGATGCCAAAACAATAACCATTGAATTTTTTCCCCGCACTTCCCTTTTATGTGTTGTTTTTGTTGTGGTCATTGTTACCAAAAATTTATAGCTTTCATTGTTTTGTCTGCCACTCTTCGTTTTGTTTTTTCACTGAAAATGAAAGGTGTTTCCAAAAAAAGTTGTAATCATTTAAAGCTTCATTCATGAAAGGTTTTTTGGGGCCAGGTGCGCCATTTATGTCACTCTTTTGGATTTTGATTTAATAATTTACTGAACAACTCTCGATTGTTTTATTATTGTATACATTCTTACTTGCTGGCTATTTGGCATGGTGCCGCTGACATTCAGTATTGGCTGGCAAGCATTTGGAGACCGACCCAAACACCACATGCCATTGGAACGGGGTCATTAACAAAAAAATGTTTATATTTAAAAATATTATGGTTTGTTTTCAAATTCGAAATTTTTATTAACTGTGGAAGGGAAATGAAAAAATGTAAATTTTTTTAGAGGAATTTTGAGAAAAATTATCGTAATCTTAATTAACCAAAATTGAATTCAAATTTCCAACAATTTTCCAATTTTCCCTTATCTAACTTCTCATTCTTTCTCTTCTTACAGATTCCACAACCAAACCATAGCTCATATGGCACCCTAGTAGCACATCGATCATGTTAAAATCAATATAATTTTCCAAAATTTATAAAAATTTGGAAAAACCCCATAACTTCAACCACACATTAAATAAGGTTCCTTAGGAGTATCTAAAAATTACTCCGGTTCTACAAACAACCAACTGCTACTTGGTCTTCAAACAATTAACAACAACCAGGTCAGACCGCAAGAAAATCCCGGCAATGACCCTAACAACAGCATCAGCCACAACTGCCGCCACAAATCAACCCACCTCGCTACCACTAACCGATACGACGACAACAAACAATAAAAAAATGGACATTAAATGTCCATCAAATGTTGCTGCTGCCGTTGTGGCTGAGGAAAATCTACCCACCTCTGAAATGGATCTCTTAGCAAAATTGGAAGCTGCCAATAAATTAATTGAAAGTGATGCCAAGTCATTGAATTCGTTGCATTCAACGCATAGTCGCAAAAATTCCGATACCAGTCAAATAAGTATTACAAGTCAGAGTGAGTTTCGAATTCGAAATTTAATTTCATTTGTTTTTCATTTCATTGGTTATTAATGTTGATTGTGTTTTTACCTTTCAGATGGCAATTCGGTGGCCGAGGAAGACATTTGGACCACATGGGCCACAATTCTAAACGATTGGGATGGTGCATTGAAACGTAAAAATCCATGTGTTCGTGAATTGGTGCGACGGGGTATACCGCATCATTTTAGGTGAGCATTAAAAAATGTCCCTGATGATCACAGAAAATATTCAGGGTTGCTTCTAGCATTAGATTGTCTACGAAAGACTCCATGACGAATGAATCTACAAAAACTTCCTCCATCTTGTCTATAAAGACTCCCTCCATATTTTCTATAAAGACTCCTTCCAACTCTTTATAAAGATCCCCCGAGCTCGTCTATAAATAATCCCCCTGATCGTCTATAAAGACTCCCTCTAACTCGTCTACCAACAGGTCTTTAATTCTCATTCAAAGACGCCCTGGAGTTTGTCAATAAAACTCCTTCATAAAGACACCCTTCAGCTCCTCCATAGGGGCTACAAATTGTCTACAAAGACCCCCTTCAGATGTTCTATAAATATGCCCTACGCATGGTTTATAAAGACTTCCTTCAGCACGTTTATAAAAATTGCCTTCAGCTCGTGTATTAAGACACCCTACGGCTCGTCTATGAAGACTTCCTTCAGATCGTCTACAAAGACTCCTTTTAGCTCATCTTTAAAGACTCCTTTCAGCTCGACTAAAAGACTCCCTTCAGTTCGCATATAAAGACTCACTTTAGTCCGTCTATAAAGACTGCCATCAGCTTGTCTATAAAGACACTCTTCAGCTCCTCCATAGGGACTACAAATCGTCTACCAATACCCTCTTCAGATGGTCTATAAATATGCTCTTCAGCTCGTTTATAAAGACCCCTACGGCTCGTCTATCAAGACTTCCTTCAGCACGTCTATAAAGACTATCATCAGCTTGTCTATAAAGGCTACCTTCAGCCACTCCATAAGGAAATCCTTAAGTTCGCCTATCTTCTATAAAGATTTCCTTAAAATCGTCTATAAATAACCCCCTCTCCTCGTCTACAAATACTCCCTTAAGCTTGTCTATAAAGACTCCCTCCAGCTCGTCTTTATACCAACCTAACCTAAGGCTATAATATATACTCACCCGTTTAAAATCTTCCTTCAGTGCTGTAGCATATTCTTCAAACCCACAAAATATTTTGGAAAACCATCCGTAAAGGCTATAAACCGATCCCTTGAAACCAACAAGATTAGAATCCTAGCCTACATCTCTAACAGACCCTTGAAAAATCAGCGATTACGATTTTAATAGCCCTTGTATATTTTTTATATAAATATACCAATAACAATATTTTCCTCATCCCCCATTCCAGAGCCATTGTTTGGCAACAGTTGTGCGGTGCCAGTGATGCCGATAAAAAACAATATGCCGAATACATAAAGGCCACATCGGCTTGTGAGAAAGTGATACGACGTGATATTGCACGTACCTATCCTGAAGTTGATTTTTTCAAAGAAAAAGATGGACCCGGCCAAGAGGCTCTGTTTAATGTTATCAAAGCCTACTCCTTGCACGATCGTGAAGTTGGTTATTGTCAAGGTTCAGGTTTCATTGTTGGTCTACTATTGATGCATATGCCCGAAGAGGAAGCGTTTGCCGTTCTGGTACAAATAATGCAACAACATCGCATGCGTGACATGTTTAAACCCTCAATGTCAGAGCTGGGTTTGTGCATGTATCAATTGGAGAATTTGGTACAGGAACAAATACCCGAAATGCATATACACTTCCAGCAACAGGTAAGGGGATAATTTTTTGCAAGATTGAGTTTACTGGATTTATTTGATTTTTTTCTTTTTCTTCTTGCAGGGATTCCAAACCACCATGTATGCTTCCAGTTGGTTCCTTACATTGTATACCACATCATTAAGTTTAAATATAAGCAGTCTTATTATGGATGTATTCCTTAGCGAAGGCATGGAATTCATTTTCAAAGTTGCCTTGGCCTTATTGTTGCTGGGCAAGGATACTCTGTTGTCATTGGATATGGAGGCTATGTTAAAGGTGAGTTTTAAGGCATTCTAAGGAAGAGGTCTTCTGTACATATGAAATATATTCAGTATAAAGAATATCTGAAGAGGTCTTCTATACAGAGACGAGATCTCTTCTATGTATGTAAGAAGTCTTCTATGCATGGAGTACATCTAATATCCAAAACAAATATTCTTAAAAAATGCACTATGGTATATTAACTCTACCTTGATATCGTCTTTATAAACTCCCTGTACCTCGTATATAAATACTCCCTCCTTGGACTCCTTTCAGCCCGTCTATGAAAGACTCCCTGACTTAATTTTTTTCTATAAAGACTACCTTCATCTCGTCTTTAATATTCCCTGACACCAGTCATGAAAATACTCCCTTACTTTAGCGCGTCTATAAAAGACTCCCTGACTTTAGCGCGTCTATAAAAGACTTCATGCTTCAGCTCGTCTACGAAAAACTCCCTCCAGCTAGCCCAAAATTACTCCCTTCAGGTCAACTATGAGAGACTCTCTTCAGCTCCTCTATAAAGACTCCCTTCAGCTCGTCTATAAAGACTCCTTTCAGCTCGACTATGAAAGACTCTCTGCTTCAGCTCGACTATGAAAGACTCTCTACTTTAGCTCGACTATAAAAGATTCCCTGCTTCAGCTCGTCTATGAAAGACTTCCTGCTTCAGCTCGTCTATGAAAGACTCCCTACTTCAGCTCGTCTATGAAAGACTCCCTACTTCAGCTCGTCTATGAAAGACTCCCTACTTCAGCTCGTTTATGAAAGACTCCCTGCTTCAGCTCGTCTATGCTTCAGCTCGTATATGAAAGACCCGGCTTCAGCTCGTATATGAAAGGCTCCACTTTAGCTCATATATGAAAGACTCCGCTTCAGCTTGTCTATGAAAGACTCCCTGACGTGTTCACGAAAGACTTCATGCTTCAGCTCGCCTATGAAAGACACCATTCAGCTCGTCTATATAGACTGCCTGTAGCGAGTCTATAAAGACCCCCTTCAGCTCGTCTATAAATACTCTCTCAAGCTTGTCTATAAAGACTCCCTCCAGCTCGTCTATAGATACTCTCTCCAGCTAGTCTATAAAGACTCCCTCCAGCTCGTCTGTGAGAGACTCCCTATCTTCATGTAGTCTATAAAGAATCCTTGACTCCAGCTAGTCTATAAAGAATCCCAGGCGTAAGACTCCCTTCAGTTCGTCTATAAAAGACTTCCTTCAGCTCCTCTGTCTACAAAGACTATATCATCCACCTCGTTTATTCCTATATACCCTTAATATAAAATATATTTGTTTCTATTTTTTTCAGTATTTCCAAAAAGAACTTCCCAAAAAAGTTGAGGCCGATCCCGATGCATTCTTCCAACTGGCCTATTCCATAAAAATCAATACCAAACGTATGAAAAAAATGGAAAAAGAATATCAAGATGTAAAGAAAAAAGAACAAGAAGAAATGGTCGAATTGAGACGTCTACGAAGAGAAAATCGTTTGCTTAAACAACGTAATGATCTTTTAGAGGCTGAGTCGGCTGAATTGGCCGATCGTTTGGTTAGGGGCCAGGTATCAAGGGCCGAGGAGGAAGAAACAAGGTGAGTTATCAAATTAAATATTTTTGTTTATTTAATATGTAATTAATTTGCGTACCTTTGCCTTCAGCTTTGCTATCCAAACCGAGCTAATGCAGTTGCGTCGCTCTTATTTGGAAATCTCTCATCAATTGGAAAATGCCAACGAAGAAGTTCGTGGTTTAAGTTTACGTTTACAGGAAAATGTAAGTTTTGGCGAATTGATATTCGTTTTTTTTTTCATTTTATTAATTTTTTTCTCCCTTAAAAATTCAATCATAATATTGTGCTCACACCCCTTTACCCCAAAAACCTTTTTTTTGATATCATATTCAATCATTCATTTTCATAATGCTGTATCTAATCACCAAAATTTAAATAAGAAATCAAAAAATACTTCCAATTGTCTGGATATGGCTAAACAATTTTTAAATGAAAGAAGTTGCAAAAGAACAAGGTTATTATGTTTATATAATCAAACGAAGTTAGAGTTTCCAAAAAATCGTAATGACCTTTTTCGTTTTGTACTTTTTCCTCACCCTTTGTGTATTTGTTTTTTAATACATTTCCTTATTTGTATTCCTTCTTCTTTTTTTGTAACAAATCAAATAATCTGGTTGTGGTTTACATTTTTATCTGTATATGTTATTTATAAAAACAACAACAACGAACACACTTTTTATATAACAAATACATACACAACATGAAATTCCAAAAAACGTAAAATACTTCAAATCAAGCAGAATGATCCAATGGGAAGCGTAAGTATATAATATATATGTCGGAACTGATTTCTGTGGAAGAAATACTTCCTCTTCTCTTTATGTTTAAAAAGCATGTATTTTTTGTTGTTGTACTAATCTATACAAAATTAACCCTTATGTGTAAAAAAGTGTAAAATTAACCCTTTGTTTTATGTTAATAAAGTCTGAAAGGAGATATCCCGGAGGAATTAAGGAGTCTTTTATATAACCGATAAGTAAGAGGGTTTATAGAGAAAAACTAATAAGATGTCAGGGAATATAAGCCAGCAAAGCCAAGTAAGCTTTAATAGACTATCAGAAGGGAGTTGTTATAGAGGAACTGAATGGGGTCTTAGAGCTGGAGGTAGTATTTTATAGAAGAGCTGAAGGGGGTATTTTATAGACGAGCTGATGGGAGTCTTTATAGACGAGCTGAAGGGAGTCTTTATAGACGAGCTGAAGGGAGTCTTTATAGACGAGCTGAAGGGAGTCTTTTATAGACGATCTGAAGGGAGTCTTTTATAGACGATATGAAGGGAGTCTTTACATACGAGCTGAAGGGAATGACTTAATAGAGTCGTTATAGACGAGCTGAAGGGAGTATTTACAGACGAGCTGAAGGAAGTCTTTATAGACGAGCTGAAGGAAGTCTTGATAGACGAACCGCATATTTATAGATCATCTGAAGAGAGTCTTTGTATACGATTTTTAGTCGCTATGGAGGAGCTGAAAGGTATCTTTATAGACAAGTTGATGGGAGTCTTTCATCAGCAGGGAGTTTTTCAAAGACGAGCTGAAGCAGGGAGTTTTTCAAAGACGAGCTAAAACAGGGAGTCTTTCAAAGACGAGCTGAAGTAGGGAGTCTTTTAAATACGAGCTAAAACAGGGAGTCTTTTAAAGACGAGCTAAAGCAGGGAGTCTTTCATAGATGAACTGAAGCGATGAATCTGTCATAGACAAAAAATAGAGCGTATTTGAATGAAGTCGTTATAGTCCTACTTACGGCAGTCTTCGTAGTCGAGCGGAAGGAAGTCTTAACAGACCATCTGAGAGATCCTCTTAATAGTCCAGTTAAAAGAATTATTTATAGACAAGCGGGATGATCTTATTATAGACGAGCAGAAGTTATCCCTGACGGACGATCTGCAAAAAGTATTTACAGATGAAGCAAAAGGAGTCTTTGTAGGCGAACTGAAGTCAAAAAATATAGGTTTTATGGAACAGTCGAAGTTATAATCCTCGTAGGCGAACAAAACTCAGGGAGTCCTTCGGAATATCCTTTCCTTTTTCAGTCATTTATTTTTTAAGAACTAACCTTATGTATTTACTAAAAACCTATGTTTTATGTAATCAATTATATTTAATATTGTTGTCCTTAGAATGCTTTAATCATAACAACACAACTCATGTTTGTAATAAATAATAACCTAAAACAAATCTTTACCTCAAATAATAACAAAAAAATAAAAATAAAAAATTATAACCCCTCTTTGATTGTTGCATGTTTTATGTTTTCTATTAATATCCTTTAAATTCCCTAATGACCACATCATCTAATCTCTCCCTCTTGCCCTTCTCTCTTCCTCCTCCACATTTAGAATAATTCCCGCCAGTCATCACTCGATGAGCTGTGCATGAAAGAAGAAGCTCTCAAGCAACGTGACGAAATGGTCTCATGTCTTCTCGAAGAATTGGTTAAGGTACGACAGAGTCTAGCCGAAAGTGAAGATCAAATTCGTAACCTCAAAGCCAAAGTCGAAGAGTTGGAAGAAGATAAAAAGACACTACGTGAAACAACACCCGACAACTCCGTTGCACATTTACAAGATGAACTAATAGCCAGTAAATTGCGAGAGGCCGAGGCCAGTCTCTCGTTGAAAGATCTCAAACAAAGGGTACAGGAATTAAGTAATCAATGGCAAAGGCAATTGCAGGAGCAACGTAACGATCACAATTCCCACCCTGTCGATTCGACTCCAAAGAAATTATTAACCAATCTCTTCGATTCGTCGAAATCCAATGAACACACCCAAAAGCTGGAAGAAGAACTGATGACAACCCGCATTCGTGAAATGGAAACTCTAACCGAATTAAAAGAGCTGCGTCTTAAGGTCATGGAGTTGGAGACACAAGTCCAGGTGTCGACAAATCAACTGCGTCGTCAGGATGAAGAGAATAAGAAATTGAAAGAGGAATTGGATGCAGCTCTAATGCGTGAAAAGGAGATGGCCAATAAGGCCAGGGAACAACAGCATAGGTGGGTGATGAAAATATGTTAGATAAGACATTTATAATTGTTATTGTGTTTCTTTCTTCTTCTTTTTAGATACTCTGATTTGGAATCTCGCATGAAGGATGAATTAATGAATGTTAAAATTAAATTCACCGAACAGTCACAAACAGTGGCCGAATTGAAACAGGAAATTTCCAGATTAGAAACTAAGGTATGATTTGAAATGGTATTTAATTTGAGGAGTGATATTTTTTCGAGATAAACATGCAAATTTTGAGTTTTCCTCCCCGAGTTCAGTTCATATTAAATTCTCAAAGGCTTTCAGATTCGGTGGTCAATAAAACAGACCATAAATCAAATCGAACATCCTTACATATTTGTGATGCTCGTTAAAATCATCTGAATTGCTCAATCTGCTTCAGATTTAATACGATTTTGAGCTTTATAACGCCTACAAAAACGATATCAATCGTCTAGTATTTTAATTCTCATTTCCGCTGTTTTCAGTTTTGCTCGTCAATGAAATTTCCCTGATTCAGCTCTTCCTTAACGATTCCCTATCCCTATCTAAACTCGTCTATAAAATTCACCCTTCATTTTTTTCGAACTCTTTTTAAAGGCTTTCCATGACAGCAGACATTCTGCTCTTCCACAGTAATTTGATTTTAAACGTAAAGAAAAATACCTTCTGGTCTTCTGTCGATGACTTTTGACATTTTTGGTAGCTACTAAAGTCTGCGGCTACTGCTAGCTAATCGTTGGCTGCTTCTGAAGTGCATGTTGTCTTTTTAAGTCTCCCGAGACTTTCCTAAATTCCTGGGGAATTTTTGAAGCCACTTTGTAAATCATTTAATTATCTGAAGTATCCTTTGACATATTAAGCATTTGGAGGTTTTTCTAAGTCTACCGACCTTATCATATCCCAGGATAAGTATATTTTCATGTCTCTGTTCTCGTTTGCCTCTGAAGTCTTCGGCGTTTTTTTAAGTCTTCTTGACTTCAAGCTACTAAGGTCTCCAGCGACTGCTTCAGCAGTGTTTGCTGACATTTGAAGTCTCCGGAGACTTTTTTAACTTCTGACGGCTAATTTTCTCTGGTCTCTGACGACTTGAGATTTTGGAAGTCTTTGGCGATTCCTTCCGTCATTCTAATAAAAAAATATCGACCTTTTGATATCTCAGAAGAAGTAGATCTTCAGGTCTCTGTTCTTGTTTCCCACTGAAGTCTTCGGCGTTATTTAAAGCTTTGTGAACTTCAAACGTTCAGAAAAATACCTTCTGATCTCCTTTGGTCTTCTGGTTTTAAGAAGCCTATGTCAAAGACTTTTAACGGTTTTGGTAGCTACTAAAGTCTCCAGCGACTGCTTCTGCTGTGTTTGTGGACATTTGAAGTCTCCAGAGACTTTTTGAACTTCTGTCAATTTTTGGATTCTCTGATGCATCTTGCGACTCATAAAGCCTCTGGAGAATTTGGAAGCCTTTGACGAATTCTGAAGCCTTCCGGCATTCTAACGAAACATACCATACCTTATGATATCTCAGAAGAAATAGATTTTCAGATCTCTGTTCTTGTTGTTCACTGAAGTCTTCGGCGTCATTTAAAGCCCTCTGGACTTCAAACGTTCAGAAAAATACCTTTTGGTCTCCTTTGGTTTTTGGTAGTTATTAAAGTCTCTAGCGACTGTTTCTGCAGTGTTTGTTGAAATTTGAAGTCTCCAGAGACTTTTTAACTTCTGAGGGCTAACTGTCTGCCAATTTTTGGATTATCTGAAGCCTTCCGGCATTCTAATAAAAAATAACTTGTGATATTCCAGAATTAAATCTTCAGGTCTCTGTTCTCGTTGATCTCTCTTCAGCGTTTTATAAGCCTTCTTGATTTTAAACATCAAAAAAGTCCTTTTGGTTTCCTTTGGTCTTTTGGCCTTAAGGGGACCCCCCCCCATTCTCGGGGTCAAAAAATTGTTGATTTAATTCGAATCTACATTAACTCAAGAGTGTCCCTACAAAATTTCAAGTGAAAATCTCAAGAACTCTTGAAGATATAGCCGATTTATTGTGTCAGCATCAAGTGATGGCTAAAGGGCTTCTCCAACTTTAAACGCGTTTTTCTCCTTTGCGAATGGCGTGAACGATAACTCAAAAACTAATAACCCAATCGATTCCAAATTTTTACACGTTTCTCTGTGAGTGTATAGCTATCGTATGAAGCCAATCGGTGAAGATCTTCCCTATTTGTTAACTTGGTTTTTGGTCAAAAATCGGCGATTTTCCAAAAATATTTTTTCAAATGTCCGCCATTTTGTTAATTTTAGAGCCAAGTCAGTAATCCTATCATGCCCGCCATCAAAAATAAGGACTTTTCTTTAATTACAAAAAACATCAACAAAACAAGGACTTTTCTTTAATTACAAAAAACATCAACAAAACAATAACAAAAAATTTTTGTAAATTATTTTTCTTCTCTCTCAATTATATATGTGCAAAGTTACAAACCTTAACAAGCACTGGTATTGATTTACCAGCCCATTGAAAATCTTGAAAAATTAAAATCGAGAATGCGGGGGGAGTTCCCTTAAGAGGTATCCGTTGATGACTTTTGCGTTTTTGCATGTTAACTATTGAAGTATACGGACATTTTTTTAACTTCTGGCGACGATCTGGATCTGGGGACTTTTGAAGTCCTTAGCGATTTTTGAATACTCAGCAATCCTTGGATTCTCTGAAACATCTTGTGACTTATTTTGGATGTTTTCGGCGAATTCTGAAGCCTCTAAAAGTTTTTGAACATATGAAACTTTCGATAACGTTTCTGGCTCATTCCTAACTCGTTGACGACTTCTAATGTCTTTGACAACTTCAAAGATTTTGGCAAAATCGGAAGCCACTGATCATTAAAGTCAATAATGACTTTTGAAGCTACTAGCAGCTGATGAAATCTATGGCAATTTCTGAAGTTTCTGCCAAATAATTAGAGCTTGAAAGATTCTACAATAAATAGTCGATAATGAAGTTCCTACAACTCGTTTATAGAGATACCCATCAGCTCATCTTGAGAGTCTCCCTTTAGCTCGTCTATGAAAGCTCCCTTTATCTCGCTCATAAAGATTTCCCATCAGTTCGCCGGCAAAGGCTTTCTTCAGATCGTTCATAAAGACCCCTTTTTGTGCGTTTATAAATACACCATTAAACACGTCCATACAAAAGACGTTGAACTCCCTTTGGTTCGTCTATAAAGTCTAGGGCCATTTCTGAAGTTTCTGACAAATACTTAGAACCTGTGAAGGTTCTATAATAAAAGACTCGATTATGAAATGCTTCCTTCAACTCGTCTATAGCGATAACCTTCAGCTCATCTTGAGAGTCTCCCTTTAGCTCGTCTATAAAAGCTCGTTCATAAAGACTCCCATCAGTTCATCGGCAAGGACTCCTTTCAGGTCATCTACAAAGACTCCTTCAGTTTGTCTATGAAAAACTCCCTTAAGCACGTCTATGTCAGACTCCCTTCATCTCGTCTATGACAGACTTCCTTCAGCTCTAATTCCACTCTAAGGACTTCCTAATTTGTTTTATATCTTCTGTTTTGTTCCCCATTAATCCAATTTTTCTATTTTCTTTTAGAATTCTGAAATGTTGGCCGAAGGTGAACTACGTTCCAATTTAGATGATTCCGATAAAGTACGTGATCTGCAGGACAGAATCGCCGACTTGAAAGCAGAGGTAAGTTTGCAAAATTTCCAATCAATAAAATGTGGATTGTATGTCCCAAAGAGTAACTACCCCCACCAACCTTTTTCATCCAAATATGTTTTGAGTTTGTTTTGTTTGTTATGTCCTCTACCCAAAACAAAAAACAACAACAATTGCAACATTACACCCATGTTGTATCGTTATTTTTGTATATAATACAACTAAAAACATAAAATCACTCACTCTATTCACTCACTTTACAACAACAACAACAAAAACTAAAAATAAAATTGGTTTTGGGTTACATTTGATACTACACTCACTACTACTACTACTACTGTCATTACAACAGTTATTGATGCTATTACACACTCAATACATCCCATCAAGTCAATATCACCAATTAAAAAAAAAGAAAATCACCAAAAATTTCACCATTAACAGATCATTTATTTCATTATTATTATATTCATAATTCAAATATTCATAACACACAGTAGATATTGTTTATAACCACCTTCAAGAAATAACAGAAAAATAAATTTGTATCGGTCGAATTAAGTTGGGGAACCTTTTTCCCCAATGATTCCAATCATTAATTTCCAAATATAATTAATTGTTGTTTTTATTAACCATGTTCGTTGGTTATAAACATGTCCTACTGTATTTGTAATTTTTTGTTAGAAAAAATGCTTTCAAAGCCTCTTTCCAATTCACTCAGCAGAATTTAAGACACCGTATTATATACACAAAATCATCCCGCAACTATCCTTGAAATACAAATTATATTAAATCCAACATTTCGTTTTAAATTTTTTATTTCCAAAAATATGTAATTTTAATTTTTGAATTAATCACCCACCCACACAGCAAATTGAAACAACCCCCACGCATAATCACACCAATGTATTTCGTTTTTTCTTTCGAAATTATATTTTGAGTTTTTTTTTTTTTTTGGTTTCCAATATAATTTATCGCTATATACTTTGTATTTATATTTTTTCGTGTGTGTGTTCTTTATTATAGTATACTACGCCCATAACAAGTCCCGATACTGAACCTTGGAAGTGGATAAGTTAAACAAACTTGTATTCGAAATTTTAATGAAAACCAAAAACAGTAATCCATACGCACTTCACAACCGTATCAAAAGCAAAACACAAAAAACAGATCAGGTCATTATAACATGCAATTTGTTTTGTCTTTCAAAATTTATTCAGCAGCAACAACAACAATCTGTCATATGTTTTCTTTTTTTTACATATATATTTATATGATAAGTATCCTTTAACAGCCCGTAATGTCGAATGCGTAACATTTCATGTTGATACGATATGTTTTCATATTAATTTTCTTTTTGTGTTTTCTTCAAATAATCGTATCGTATATACTCGGTCGTTCGATTTTTTTTTATTTTTTGCATGATTGTTGTTATACATACATAATATATACATATTAATTATATTCGTGTTTAGACAAGAAAAGGGATATTTAATTGAAATATATTTTTTTATTTTTCATTATTAATGTTCTTCGTTAAATTATGAATTTGAGAATTATTATAGATCTCATCAACATTATTTTTTATTTTGTGTCATTTAAAATTAGATCGGTTCTCTTAGAGCGATTTTGGTAGTCAATCAATCATTCATTGAAGATCGATAATGTATAAAACCAAAAACAAATCTATTTCAAATATTTAAATAATAAAAACCCTAAAATTTCTTTAGAAATATTTACTTCAAACATTTTATAAAAAATCCGATCTTAAAAGTCCAACATAAGTTTTGAAGTCCTACATGAAAATTGAAGCCTAATTTTTTTACTTGAAATCCTCGCCTTAATGAATTACCAAACCAAGCCCTTGAAAGTCATTCAAAAAATTTGGTTAACAAACGATTTGGAGTCCTTCGAAAAGGATTTAAACTCACTAATGAAAGTCTTCAAAAATATTTCTAAGGAATCGAAAGAGATTTAGAGTCCTTGAAGGAATCCAAAGAGATTTAGATACATTCAAAAATCCTCTAAAGATATATTTTTTAAATCCAAGCCCCTTAAATTTTTTTAGACTGTATCAAAGGAGAGATTCGATTTGGAGATTTTATTATTTTTCCTCGGAATCTTGCACGACTTTTTGTGATTTTCCAAAAAATGGAGGACCCATAAAATTCAAAATTCTATCAGAAGGATGTTGTTTTTTGTGTAGGACTCTCTCCCATTCTCGGTGTCAAAAAATTTAATTTAGTTTTTTGATTTCATTCGAATCTACACAAATTCAAGACTGTCCCTACAAAATTTCAAGTGAACATCTCAAGAACTCTTGAAGATATATATCCGATTTATTGTGTCAGTATCAACTGACGGCAAACTTCAAACGCATTTTTCTCGAAAAATGGTTTTTGTGAATGTTCCCTCCAAAAACTCATAACCCGATTGGTTCCAAATTTTGAAACGTTTCTCTGGGAGTGTCTGGGAGCTATCGTATGAACTAGGACAAAACCAATCGGTGAAGAACTTCCTTATTTTTAACTTAGTTTGTGGTCAAAAATAGCCGAATTTCCAAAAAATATTTCAAAGGTTCCCCATTTTGTTATTTTTGAGCTTATCCTTCTTCTCTTTTAAATCTACAATTATATACATAAAGTTACAAACCTTAACATGCATTGGTATTCATTTACCAGCCCAATGAAAATCTTGAAAATTTATAATTGAAAATGGAGAAGGTCCCCTGCATATAATTTGGTTGATTTTCCTTAATTTGATATAATTATATCCTACACAACTATGTTGTCAGGGTACTATAGCTTTGTGCAGCCCCAAGAGTTTGTAACGCCGCGAAATATTGGTATAAGTATACCGATCGTCATATCTCGATTAGCTGAGTCGATCTAGACATGGGTGTCCTTCAGTCTGTCCATTATAATTTGTAAACACGATACAGGCCACAGTTATGGACCAATCTTCACGAAATTTTGCATGTAGGGCCGGTTCTGGCCAATGAAGACCCGTATTGTTTTTGGTGAAGATTGGTTAATATTTAGGGGATGAAATGGACAAAATACTTAATTTTTTTTTCGGTTTTTCTGGTCGCTCCAGAGGCCGCAATTATGGTCCAAACATCGCGAATTTATACATAGAGATTTGGATCGGGCCAAAGAATAAGCATGCATGGCATGATAAAGATCGGTCAATGGACCCTGACTTTTGTGTGAAAAATGGCAAAAAAAAACTTAAATATTTACAGGTGCTTACGTATTCAGATATTATTTAGTAACCCAGTATCACACTAGAGGGCGGAAATATAGCGCTGATCGCTTTGAAATTTTCCATGAGGTATGGTCAAGGACAACGCCTATAATTTTCGATGATTTTCAATGTTATTATCTTATCATAACATTGAGATGAAGTGGACCGAAAACATATTTTTTTTTTGTATTTTTTTCGAGTCGATCTATAGGCCACAATTGAAAGCCGAACATTACTACACAACCCACATTGAAGGAAATCTGGACACGTAATTAGAAGGGCTGCACTGAATATTAGTAATAATAATATTTGTTGACCTCTAGTCGGCCAAGAGGAGGGTGCAAATATCGCGAAGTATTGCCCAAGAATGTAGTACCACAGAAAGTTAGATTTTCGTGGAAGTTGTGTAGGGTATCATATGGTCGACCCCGTCCTACAATACTGCTCCGCTCACTGTTTTTTTTATAATTCTCTTAAGAACCCTTATTTATTTCTATGAACTTCTTAGAAGCATTTGACTTTTAAGACCAAACAATTAATAAAAATAATCAAATTTCCTGGAAATAACGAACATTGAACTTTTCTTCAAGCTATTTTCCTAATGACCAAAATCCTTTTTACTTCACCAATATGGATCTTTCATCTATCGATTTGGTCGGTTCCAATGGTGCTACTCGTTTGTACCATGTTCACACTGAAAATGCAATAATAATTGTAAAAAATGGGTCTTGAGATGAATGTTTCCGCGAGCCATTAATTGTTATTATTAATTTTTTTATTCAAAATACGCCAATATTAAAATAAATATAGAACATATTTTTGTAAAATATACTATCCTTTCATTCGTCATTTTTCATCTCATATATTTACTTGCCATGCCATTTCACTAATTTTGTATACAATGTTTAACGTTTTTTTATTTAATGTACGTAGTTTATGTTGTAAATATTGGATATTTAATGTTTATTAGTATTTAACTTCATATATATATATATATATATATATATATATATAAAATATTAATACTAACCGCAATCATATGCACTGAAACTCTCTAATTCCTAACAAAAAATACTAAAAAACAATTAACAAATAAATGTTGCACTATTTTCATTAACACAAAAAAAAAACATTAAAAATAGTAAACTAACTACTAACACCTAAACTATGCATTTTTCTCGACATAAATGTTTTTTTTTTTTCATTTTTTTTCGTAAAAACTATATAAAAATGTAGAATATGGTTATAAAAAATGTTAACGAAATATATTTAACTTTTTTTCATCGGTTAAAAAAAAACGAATTATGTACATGATTTTAAAAGAGCTTTAATGCCATTTAAGAATAAACATAATTTAACAATTTCAATATTTATGTTTTTTCATTAATGGGAACCTAGCCACAAGGCCAAGATCGTTTCCAAAAACCCCTATACATTTTCAGTTGAATTTATGGATAGATTTCTATATTAAATTTATTAGTACATAAAATAAATTATTTAAAATAATAAAATAAATTTAATTTTTACCATAAATGTATAAATTTTCCAAATTTAATTTATTCATCTCTAAATTTAATCTCCAAATCAATTTTATAACCATGTTCTTCTTTTCAAAAATAAAAAAGTTTACCTCTCCCGAAAACCAGCATGCGTTTTCGTCATCATTGTCTATAGAAATATTTATATAACACTTTTTTATCAAAAAAAAACTAAATAATTTATTTTTTAAAAACACTTCCAGTTAACAGCATTAAAAAGTCGAGGAAAATTCATACCAGCCTCCAAACTAAGAAGTTCTTCAATACAATCCATTGAATCGGCCGAAAGTGATTTCAATGACATCATAAATATGCGCAGAGAAAGCACCGAATTATCATCATAATATTTAAAGAAAATTAAATATTAGAATTAAAACAACACAAAAAAAACTACACATACTCTCTTAATTATTATTAAAAAATTAGAAAAAAAATATTAATTATAATTTTAAAAACACGTAGTATTTAAGGAAGGAGAAAAAACAACCATAACGAATGAACCAATTTTGGAATCCTTTGAAGAGGGAATGCTTTGATATCTTCCCCCCTACCCCCCATTTCCACAAATAAAAATATGTGTTTTAGTTATAGAATTAAAAAGAAGAAGAAAAAAACAATTTATAGTAAAAATATAATTTTTATATAAATTATTGAATTTAAAAAAAAAAACAACAAAAAAAAGAAAAAGAATTACATGTTTAATTGTAAGTAAGATTTCAAACTAAATGTTTAAATTTCAAAAAAAAAAAATCTTTATGCATATATTCTTTATTATAATTAAAAAGAAAAAAAAAACAATTTTTTTGTATATGTATGTAAATGTATATTAAATGTAATTTTTTTTAAATATATATAAATACCACAAATGATTCTTTACATCATTTCCAAAATTTTTCCTACATATTTTTTTTGTTTTTTTAATATTTTGGCTAGCTCTCAATCATTCTCTACAATACACATAATTTTCCCTCAAGTTATACTTTTTGTTATAAATATGTCTTTTTTGTTTTGTTTTTTTAACTTTACATTATTTATTTGTTTTTTTTTTAATAAATAGTTATAGCTATTATTATATTAAGTATTATATAAAAAAAATGTATTTACACTTACCACATATTCCTCCCATTAAGTTAACTTCCATTTAGTTATAGATTTTTTGATATTAATATTGTATTTTTTTTTTAATTTTGTTGTAGTAGAAAAAAGAATATAACATTCTCTCTCGCTCGCTCGATATGAAGACAAAACGTAACACTAAATCATAGGGCATTAACAGGTAGACAAAGAAAATATTAATATAAAAAATATTAAAAATAGTAGTTATTACGATAACAACATCATACGAATTGTGAATTTTATCAAAAATCGAAAATATATTTCACCAACATATACTGGCCGTATTAAAAATTAAATTTTTGAAAAAAATTAACTATGTAGATTATTAAAAAATATTCCTGTAGGAAACAACAATTGCATTTGTTTCTTTTATTATTTTTACAACAACAAAAGAAATTTAAACAATATCGAATGTTGTTAAATTTCATTTATTTTTTTCAATACAGCATTTAGGAAAAACAATAAATCTTCCAATGTCTTTGAAAAGACCAATTGAAATTTATATAAATCACAGGACTTCGTAAATACCATAGATCCTTATAAAGAAAAATCGTCCTGTATAGAACTTCACCGGTTTATAAAGACCTATTGGTCTGTATAGCACTGGACTTTATAAAGCCCGATTGGTCTGTCCAAAAACCACGGATGAGTAACTTTCCAAATTTTTTTCACGATTAAGATTTCTGGACACATTTTCCAACCGAATCGATTATAGTTTGCCACTTTCGGTTATGTTGAGGTGAGAAATCATAATATAAAACCAGTGAGCAGAGCAGTATAGTCGGACGGGGCCGACCATACAATACCCTACACAACTACCACGGAACTCTAACTATCTGTGGATTTTTTCCGAGCCTATTCAATATTTCGTGATAGTTGCACTCTCTTGCCCGATTAGACGTCAACAGCATCTCTTCCTTACAATGACATATTTTTCGAATTTTACCTTCACGGTGGGTTCTGTTGTGACATTCGGCTTATAATTGTGGGCCTATATATCGACACGAAAAAAAATACAAAAAATTAAGTTTTCATACCAAAATTATTATCTGAACATCACTGAAAATTATAGGCGTTATCCTTGATCATAACTGGAACCTCATGGAACATTATAAAGTGATCAGTGTGGTAATGGGTTACTAAATAACATCTGAATACGTAAGCACTAAAAAATTATGGAAAAACCAAATTTTTCACAAGCGAGATTTCTCCCTAGCGATTATTCAGAATAGGGCAGATTACCTATATTGATCCTACTAAAGGTATAGCTGCTATAAATTGGTACCACACATTTTTTTCGGTATTTTGAAATGTTTAGGACATATTCGTATCAAAAGTGGCCGCCGCTTATTAGCCTATAGGAATGAATTTTAATCACTCATATTATTTTCTCATCTTATAGGCGTAAATGTTTTTTTTTTAATATTCTTCTCTACAACATAGGGACTTAGATTTTTTAAATAGTTTTCTCGACCGCATTCTATTATATTGTATTCTCAATCGGGTTTTTCTCGGCCACCTACATTTTGTTTATAAATTGCAATACCCCTGTTATTTTAAAGTTACTGTGCAGTAAGCAAGTTCAATTTTATAATAAGAATGCTAAGGCTCTGCAGAACATAACGATCAACTTTAAGATATGGTCAGCAAAGCTTTAACACATTAAGGACCGCAAAGAAATCTGTAAGGCATACGCCGGGGACCGCACGTTTTTGGACAAAGCAATTTTTGTGAAACTTTCAGAAATTGTATAATAAAATGCATGCTATGTATTATTGAAAAAAGTATGTTTTTAAATAATTATAATAACTTTTTTTAATAATTATAATTGTCATTTCTAAAAGGGCGAGGAACTTGAAGAGGAAGGCTATTCGAATCACCAAAATGGAATGCAACGTGTCGAATTCTTTTTGAGACTAAGACGTTTTTATTTTGCGTTTGTGCATTTCTACAGTTTTTCGTAGCTTGTCCATTCGTAACAGACGGAACGTGAAACACGAGAAAACTCGTTAGCGGCCCTTAATATGTTAACATTAACAAACAGTAAACACATAATTTGTTACATAACTGCCGTACTACAAGACTATTTTCTTGAAAATCTATAGAAGAGGTTTTTTAGAGCATTTCATACAAGTTGACATTTAACAAGGTGCTGCCTATTGGAAGGCCTAGAAAAATGATTCTTTAAAAAATCCATAGCTCTGCTGCTAGAACTGAAAAACTATTCATTAAAAAATTCAGGCTAGTGATAGTCCTTGAGCAAAAATCCTACACATCCTGGCTATCTAATCTTCTATAGGGTCTTACACTATATTTCGATAAGATGAAAAAAAATCCAAAAAAAATTTTCAATACCCCAAAAAACTTCAAAAATCCAAACTTATTATAAACCCTGGTTAATATATTTTTTAATAAATCCAAACCGAAAACATCTTTAAAACAACAAAGAGTTTAAAATACCTTGAAAATGTATTCTTTAATAAGTGAAAATCTATAGAAGAGGGTTTTTATAGCATTCCATACAATTTGACATTTAACAAGATGCTGTGGCTGTTGGAAGGCCTAGAAAAATTATTTTTAAAAAAATCCATAGCCTTGCTGCTAGAGCTGAAAAACTATTCATTATCATCAAATTTAGTCTAATGATAGTCCTTGAACAAAAATCTTACAAATCCTGGTAATCTAATCTTAAACAATATTTCAATAAGATGAAAAAAATTTAAAAAAATTGTCAATACACCAAAAAACCAAAATTATTGTAGATTCTGGAAAGTATATGTTTTTAAATCCAAACTGAAAACATTTTCAAAACAACAACGAATTTAAAATGCCTTGGAAATGTATACTTTAATAAATGCCGTCACTTTAGTTGGAAAATGCGTCTAGGCCCTTCAAAATGTTTTGCGTAGCCCCACATATTTCTATGAAGAAATATTATTTGATATTCATAAAAAATGTTCGTTTTAACAAAAACTTCAAAAAATCCAAATTTATTGTAGACCCTAGAAAATGTATTTTTTTAATAAATCCAAACTGAAAACTTCTTCAAAACAACAACGATTTTAAAATCCCTTAAAAGTGTATTCTTTAATAAATGCAGTCACTCTGGTTGGAAAATGCGACTAGATCCTTCAAAATGTCTAAACTGAGGTGGGAATGTTTTGTGTAGCTCCAAATGATTCTATGAAGATCCATAAAATCCGGCAACCTCGGTTATTTCAATTACAATAAAAGTTTAGAGACCTACATGTATTGAAACGTTTTTTAAGAAAGTCAAAATACCTATCCTGAGGTGGGAATGTTTTAATTGGATCCACATGTTTCTGTGAAGATCCAGAAAGATACAGCAAGCTCGTTTATTTAAATTACAATAAAAGTTTCTACACCTACATGTATTGAAACTTTTTTTATTAAGGTCAAAATATCTAACCTGAGGCCTATATTGAAAACGTTTTTTAAGGAGGATTTCTTCTAAAAATGGAAATGTTAAATTGAAGCCAAATGTAAAATCGAAATTTTTTACATCTAATCTATGCGTGGTAGTCAAAAATTTCTATTATTTTTAATATAGCCAGTATTACGCGACCACTTTAAATTATATCAAGAACAAATTTTTTAAATCCACAAAAACAAGAAAAATTTGTCAACATTTTGATATTAATTTATTTACAAAGTATAGTTTTGCAATACCAAATAAAGAGAAAATTATGCTGCTATGAAATAAAATTCATAATTAGCAAATATTTGATTTGAAAATAGAGAGAGGAAAAAAATATTCTCTGAATAAAAAAAATACATTTTCAATAGCTTACATAATTTTAATAGAATAAATTGCAATTTAATTCGATTTAAATTTTGATTGCTACCAAATGAAAATTATGTGGATGTTATGTTAAAATCCAGCGTTTTCATAGAAATCCAATAATGGATTTTTTTAAATAAAAAAACAAAATTTCAATTAAAAAGAATGTCTAAAATTTAATCAGAGAATTTTTTTCCATTTTAATAAATTCTTATATATATTTTGCGTTCTTAATTTTACTCTAAATGATACGAGATATTACTTATTAACAACAAATAAAAAAAAAACAATTTTTTTAGCATAAAGTAGTGAAATCAATTATAATTAGTCTAAAAAAACAAATTAGAAGAAGAAGAAAATATAATTAAAATCGAAAACAAAAACAATATTATGATGCGCTATAAATTACACAAAATACAACAATTACAAACATAAAAATGAATTTCGAAACAATGTTGCCA